TATTTTAATTATTACAATTAATTAATTATTACTATTTATTTTCTGAAGACTCGTTGTCTGTATATCGGGTTTATACAATATATTGCTTAACTTTACAAAATAATCAAAAAACTTTTTTTTAGCTCTCATTTGAACCTGAAAAGCTTTGACAACTTATCTGAATTATTACATTTTATAATATAATAATTATTCACAATTTTAAATCATTTACTTATTTCCATTTACCTTCTATGCATTTCATTTACACTATAAATCATGAAAATAGTAAATGTTAGCAGATATTTTTTGTTGACATGCTGAAATGTGTATTTTCTTTCTGAAGTATTCTCATTTTCATTCTGATGTTTTCAAATGATTAAGCTTTAAAACTGATAGAATGATAATTGTAAAATGCTGGCAAGTGTTTAGCATTAAATGAAGCTCAAATCTCAAATGATTTAAACATTGCCTCACCACTGGAGATCAGAATCACTCATGGAGTCTGAACTCACATTATCTATCAATTCAGCGGCAAATAAACACAAACCACAGAAGAGCAATTCACTAGAGATGGATGGAGTGTTATTAGGCATAAGTGCTAATTATTCTGTTAAACCTGACAGCAGTGTATTGGCAAACACAGACATCTGAGTGTGTTAGGGAGAGACCTGGGTATTTTTAACTGACCGTAGGACACGTCTATGATGCTAGATCTTAGTAAAAGCGTGACACATTTTTACCAAACACTGATTTGTGACAATCTTACACATTACAGGGTAAGCGCCACCTGCAGGCCAAATATACGGATGACACAAACGCTGCTTTTTAATACAATTTATCCTCTTAAAAGGTATATATCTTTTGTTTTAAAGGTTTTCAACTTAAAATGTATAGAACAAAACCTGAAAACAAAACAAAAAATAAATATATATGTATATATATAATTAACACTGGTTTTAATATATTTAAACTGTTGTATACTTTTATTTTAACTTTAGCATTTTGTACAAAAAAAAAAAACAGTAGTTATATATAGACAGTAAAAATATTTGTCGAAGTTGTAAATAAAACAAAGATTATTGGAATATATTTTACAAGAAAATACCATTTTAGTCTTTCTAATTTAAAATTTGATGTTTAATTCAACGTGTTACTTCCTGTTTCTTTGTAATTGTTTGTGAATTTACTAGCAATTTCTGAGTGAATCTTTTTTTTTTTTTTACAGTATATACAAGTCCTGAACACTGCTGTAGTGCGCAAATGTGCTTATATTTATTAATATTTGACATTAGCATTTTGAAGAAGAAAAAAAAAAAATGCATAGAATAAATCCTGAATACTGCCCTATCTCAGAAATTTGCTAATATTTATTCAAAAATAACACTGCAGAGGTTTTAATACATAAATAAAAAAATACATAAAAAAAAACCTCATTTCATAACATAAATCACATTTCATATACACTACCGCTCAAAAGTTTGGGATCAGTAAGACTCCAAAAACCACAATCATATTTCTCCCCCTCAACAACTTATAATATTGTTCTAATTGAAGAACATATAGTTCTTGAAATTTCTGGAATCACAAAATGAATAATGGTTAATTAAATATATAAATACTCCTGGTTTCTTTTAACCTCCTGAGACCCTGTGTCCTCATATTATATTTTGGTGTATTTCTCTGAGACTATACATGCCACAGTTTTAAGTCTAGATGTCCTGTACAGAGCACATTCAGGGCTTTTCAGAGATACTAAATGTTAGGATGTTTCACCATGACCACCCCCTCTCCTTGGTCTTCAAAAATGTCTGATATTAATTTAGTGACACTCTTATGGAAATATGATAATATTTTGTAATTATCATTTAAATCTA